TAATTTGATAAAGAAACTACGGACTGATTTTTTCCTTATTCAACTGTTTTTCCCTGTTATATAAATTAATTGAACAGTGATGTTCTGTTAATTGATAAATAGCTATGTATAATTAATGAATTTATACAAGTTTGTGTCTAAAATGATGCCAATGTGTCATACATTGTTTGGAAAACACCATTTTTCTCGCACTATAGAACGAAGAGTATTAAGCTGAAGAAAACTTCATCTGTTTATTAAACTGTTATTTAACAAAGGAAGAAATTTTATTTTTTCATCAAAATCTTCATTCACTTTATGGTTAAGAAAGACATCAAACTTTGATGATTTTTTCTGAAAAAACGGTATTTGGGATTTTTACATATTCGGAATCAGCGTGACAAGTACGCTGCACGGCGCAAAGATCTCGTCGGGATACACGCAAAAATGGGATCTTAGGAGTCCCACTTAGAATACCACTGTTCAACAGTACTTCGTCATATAATCATTCTTCTAAATCAGCAAAAAACCGTGTAAAAAACCTACATGCTTTATACATTGTATTGTTCTTTATCCGATCAATACAGGATGCCTTACATGTGCTGTATAACTTGTGAACGGCGTGATCTATCTTATAACACCATGGAACTTTGCACTGAAAGTATCAATCATTTACATTACAGGCCCGCTAAAAATAACCGCCATAGTGAGCGCAGTTCGATTTTTGAATTCTGTTAGATGCGCAAAGCAATAAATGAACGAGCTATGCTGGACTCTTGATATAAGATGGAATAAATAAACTGTTATGATCAACTAGAACTAACATTCTCTTCTCCTATCTTTATTTCTCATCTAACTTGATAACAACTAATAATAATATACAGTGAGAAAAACAATTTATATATGTTTCTAAAAGTATTCGGGAATTATCCAGAGCTAGAAACTAGTCTAAACGGAGAAAACAAGAATGTCTAGAATGTCTAGAATGTTTTGAACATGTGTTATATATCCTCGAGAATGTGCGTCATCTATCAAGGAAAGGAGCGGCATGTCTAACAAAGATTGCACCTACGAATGGATTTATAATCCTTACATAACACCTTTCCCTCCCAGGAAATTTGTGCTCGGCTCACTTAAAATGAAAGCACAACAGAAACAGAAGGAGTATTCAAAGTTTTATCTGTCTGTTATTGATGCGCAAGATAATCATGATGTTGGAACTATCATTCAGAAAATGGCTCTTCCAAATGTGAATAAATATATGAGTAAATCGCATAGGCATGGTACCGCCTGGAAAAAGCATCTCAGCATTTCATTAATGCTCGCCCATGATGCTTTAGCCATATGATTCGTATCGTCTGATAACGACCAAAAACTAAACGAGTTAGTTTTTGTCCAAACATAGCCAGTATGCAACGATATGTGATGTTCAATATACACATCTCAATAGAAACAACGAAAGAAGACGTTCTTTTCGGTCCAAATCCTAGCTCCTCGCCAGATCCCATTCTATCCTGTTACTCTTTTCTCCTTGTGCCTGTTTTAAATTATGGTTTTCGGACAAGTCCATTTTATTGTTGCTGTATTGCCACTTCCAGAGCACCATGTAAAGCGCCTTTCAGAGCGTGAGCGGTCTGCTGCGCTACTAGTTTCACAAAAGCGTTGAAACGTATCTTTAATGCAACATTTACTGGGCGTTGCCGTGCCAAAGTCGACTTACGGTTTTCGCCTAACAGTCGTAGGTGGTTCGAATTTAGCTGTTAGTAAAACACTTTTGATTCTGATGTTCATGGGTACAGATATTTTAGCTGAAATATGTAGAATAAAACTTTAGAGAACATTCTATAAAATGGTGAAAGCGCATCAAAATCGCGTGAGTTGTTGAAGTGTTATTTATGTTTTATTTCCGAGCGCACTTTTGGAACCTGTATTTTATTTACTCTTATTAGAAACATATTTAAAGTAATGGTGCTCTACATTTTTTTAAAGGAAATGTCGCTCTGCGTTTTCCTAGTAACATCTAAATTTCGTGCGACTGAAATGACATTTTGATGTGTTTTTTTACGAAATTGTTCTAGTTAAGAGTCTAAAAAAATGGACAAAGTTTTACTGGAAACTGTCGTCAACTCATTGAGATACGAAAAACAAAATAAAAATATCGCTCTACATTTATTATGAAAGGATCATTTTCGATTTTGTTTGATGGTTGTTATTTCGCTAAGTGAATAAAAGTTTTCTCTTTTGTCATAATTTAATCCTAACATCCGTCGTCCTATTTCATAAACAGAAACGTTTTTTAATCCGAATTCTAAATCGGAGCAACACTTTTTATATCACTCTACAAAAAAATCCAAAGTTAGCATGAGCATATTATACGAGCATTTGTTGATGTATGGCTTGACATTGACTCTAGATAAGGTAGATAAGATTTGATGGAGATGTTGTGCGTGCTCTGCAAACGTCTTCGAGAAGATAACAATATCATTCAGCTATACAATCATGCAGTCCTATCTTCCATCACAGGTCGGAATGTTGATGGTCCATTCATAACACTTTGTACCACAACATTTAATTTGTGGACAATTTGTGTAGTTGTTCTATTTTGTATAAATTCTTGGTGTGTTTACTGAACTCACTGATGCATATCTTTGAGAAAATCAATTTATAAAGGATGTCCAATCGAAGACTTTGTTCATTTCAAAGCCTTATTGTGTATTGTCGGCCAACAGGAAGGGAACCAATTGTCGTCGTTGTTTATCGTTCAAGTTGTTAGCATCACATACGTGATTAATTAGTTTTAACCATTCTGGACCGTGTTCACTGCTTGTGTCAGATAAATTTTTAACATTTGTAAAATAATTCTGACTCATGTCTAATCCATTGATCATCACTGGATGATGTATAGTATGATTATTGTATGGCAGAAGTGAATCGTTTGTTTGTTCAGTATCAATATTTGTCAATCGTTATAAGTCGTCAAGAGATGCCTGCTTTGCTTCTTGTTCTAATCTTTTTGTTGTGAAGCTTGTTTCTAGTAGCAGCTTTATTACCTCGGATGAAATGTTCGTAATTGCGATAATTCGATATCCACATTCGATAAGGATAATCATAAGAATGCAAACAGAACACGAGTCTCTTTTACACATTTTGTGTAAAAGTGTTGACGAGACGAGGGTTTTCTTTGTGAAACCTTGAACTTAACGTTGTCGTTAGAGATGAGATAGTCTGCAGATGAGTCTCTAGATTTTGGATCACGAGCTAGCTTGATAAGGTTTGATTGGAGACATGAGCACAAGTTGGATCGAGTACAAGGAAATCGTGGCGTTATACCAATCGTACTTCTACCAATGGCACTTATGCCAATGGTATAAGTGTGTCGATTTTATACCAATGGATATATTAAAAAAATTTTATACTAATGTTGGCAAAAACACTGATTTTTTATACCAATATTGGTATATAAAACTGGAGTTATACAATTGGCCGTTTTCTTACACTAATCTAATCAGTTCAGCAGCAAGTGAACTGTTTTTTTCTAAATACTATAAAATATTTGATATATTGTACTGCATCAATTTTTCACTGCATGGAGTCGGAACAACATATTAAGCGATGACTTCAGACAGGATGATATTTTTCCAAAATAAAAATTTACTACTGACTGAGCTTACCTATTGTTTTTTCAGTTGCAAATTTCTTCATTTTAGAGTCCATATTTAATAATTTCTATAATCGTTCACGTAACGAATTAGCATGTTGACACGCAATGCTGTTGCCTGAAGAATGGTTTAACTGACTTTACTGTTTTTTTCTTCATTTTACATTAGAGAGCAGCAATGCATTCGCAACTGGACTGAATGTGACCACGTAGTATAGAAATAGCACTATTATATATCAAATAGTTTCGCTGTGATCAGTCACACAGTTGAAAGTGTTAATGTACTTAAGCCAATACCTTCTTTTTTTTCAACTCTTACATCAATGGTGTAAGTACTTTTCGTTTATACCAATATTGGTGTAAACATTTTTATATCCATTGGCATAAAATCGAGACACTTATACCATTGGCAGAAGTACGATTGGTATAACGCCGCGACACCAGTATAAGCCATGTTCTTAGACTGTCATAGCAGGTCAGGTTAAACGAGTGGCTGTTTGGAGAAAAAAAACAGACATATTCTGATTGGGCTTTCTGCACTGAATTCCTCTCTGGGCTATCGTTTTGCGTACAAAGTCCAGATTTTGCGAAACAAATGAGAAACTTGTGCAAGTTATGTTATCTCACACCAGAGCCCTGCAGGTTGCCAATATTTGGCAACCTATAACCTAACCTATAAAAAATTTCACAACCTAATCCTAACCTAACCTATGGATTCGACAACCTAATCCTAACCTAATCATCGAAAAAAAAATAGAACAACCTATAATCTAACCTAGCCTATAACTTTTGCAACCTAATTCTAACCTAATCTATAGCTTTTGCAACCTAATCCTAAAGGTTAGGATCAACCTGCAGGGCTCTGTCTCACACCACGTTAGCTTTAAACATAAAAGTTACCACTTTTTTTCTCATTTCATTGCTTCTTCGTCCTATTTTACTACAGAAAATGAATAGTCTACTTATACAGTAAAGTAGGGTGCTCCGTCTGCGCAGTACTAATGCATCAAAATATCAGAAGGCTTATATATTCGTATTTTCAGCCTATCGAGAAAAATGCATATAATTTTTTTATCTCACTAACGGGAGAACAGATTTACTGTCAAATCGTTTGTTTCAATGCGACCTAGTGGATTACAGGTTATCGACTATGCTGATTCCCAATATCAACATGAGACGGGCCGCTGGCCTCCAGAGACTGATTTTCTGGGATACCAGTTTTTCAGAAACTGTAAAAAGGAATAAAAAGCTTTCTTAACGAAGCATAATTGTTGCCCGCACGTTTCTGATTAAAATGAGACATCTCACAGCTCTACATGACCTTTCTTTGCAAAAGTTAGAGAATTTACAAGAATAGCCCTAAATGTTCATTGCCAGCTCAAAGCTACAGAAATTAGAAGATTTGACAATAAATCGGTTCCCTTGTAAGTCTACACAACGAACATATTCTCTTTTTATGCTATTTCATACGAATAAAATACACAATTTCTTATTCCTTGAAAAAGGGCAACACAGTATCGATCAAAGTGAATAACTGCATGCATGTTTATTTTTATCATCGCTTATGCAATTTACTCTTTGTACTTGACAAACTATTATAATTGTCCTGCTCAAACGATTCGTAAAAGATCAAAGTGCATTCTACTATATCAACTCTCATTTATAGGGTCAAGTGCTGCATGGACTAATGAACCAAAGAAGAAGCTCACTGATGCAGCACACAAAGACAAACTGCAAGGTCAAAAACCAACATCGGCACATACGTATAAAGATGAGAAAAAAGCGGTATCAGAAGAGATTGAAAGCATTGTGAATCAGCTAAAGTCAGGCAAATTGACTTCTCTCAATCTTAATCGTAGATTATCATCGACCGGAGACACAATGGCGATCGCTGAAGCATTGAAGATCAATACAACATTGACGGGGCTTGGTATATACAACAATAATATATCGGATGAAGGAGTAATGGCGATCGCTGAAGCATTGAAGGTTAATACAACATTGACGGGGCTTGGGATATACAACAATAATATATCGGAAAAGCAGAAGAATGCAATTAAGCGAGCATGGAGCGGGAGATCTTCATTCCTGTATCTGTAATGAATGATTTCTCTGTCATTCTTGAACTCTGTACTCAATTTATTTTATATAAAAGCCCGAGAAATTGGACAGTTGATCTTAACTAGAAATCACAGGCGATTATTCCTTCGTTTCTGTTGCTTCTCTTGCTTTGCCTGTCATAGATCTTTGTGCTTTTCCAGCGAACGAAAAGGAAATCTCTCTGTGTATTCCTAATAAATTCAGACATGGCAGACGTGAACTTCTCAACTGGATGGCCTAAAACAGTCCGTTAGTCTTGTATGTTTGATAATGACGAAGACATCGTTTCTCAACGAAATCGAACGTCAGGTAGTTTGACAGTCTGATAAATAATATAAACTATTGTTTTTCTAATAATAAAAGCAAGTTCACAATTGTGTTGCATAAGGTTTCATAAGTAACATGATTGTCTTTGATAATTAGTTTTTAGATCAGATCCAGCATTTAATGAGAATGTTTCTATTTGACTATTTGATTGAATAGAAGCTGGAGATAGACCGTGGTCAGTACTTTTACACTGTTCATAGAAATGAACTATCAGTATTTTTAGTGTTATTGTTAATATTCACGATGTATTAAGTCATTTCTGCGTTTTATTTAGGATTATTTCAATGTTTACGCAAATGACTTGGTTAGGACTTATTAGAGAGTGCACTGTAAAAGGTGTGTAAATGACACACATACAGTGAACACGTAGTCGATTCCCTGTGACCGTCTAGAGTGCACGGTGTAGTTGTGTAAAGTACACACTGAGAAGTAACCGTCTGACTCTACACACTAAGATCAATGATGTAGTCTACTTAACACAAAAATAACACATTAGACAATTTTCACTGTCACAGAGAGAAATTGATTCACAAACATAGCTGTTTTTATAAATATAAACAAAATGCAAACACAAGGAAAATACATTAACAGCCACACGAGCCTGTCGTGATGTAAAAAATAGAATTCGAGGGAAGTACCCCAACTGTTTAAACGCTTTTGGCCTGAAGCTTAGTGGACAATAGGTAATCGAGTGTGCTGAATCCGAATATCATATTGGTTTGGGCCCAATTTTAGCTTAGAGACCCGATTTTTCAATGACCGGTTTTCAACAAACAAAAAATGTTCTTGATCCAGCCATATGAAAGATCTCATCGCCAAACCTAAGCAAAACCATTTTTTTAGGTTTTAGAAGAGGTTTTAAGCGGGTTTTAAACGTGCAAAACTGATTTACATTTACTGGATTTACAACTGTCGAAAACGGTGTTCATAGCGAAAATATTTTTGAGCCAAAATCGGTGCTTTAGGGACGCTAGGAGCCCACACTATTTTGATATTCGGATTCAGCACCGTCAAGTACCTAAAAAACAGTCATTTTGTCGCACAAAACGCATAAGAACGAAAACTCCGCTGCAGTTTTAAGTTTTGCAAGTTCAAAACCCGCTTAAAACCTAAAAAAATGATTTTGCTTAGGTTTGGCGATGCGATCTTTCATATGGTTGGATCAAAAACATTTTTTGTTTCAAAAAGTTTTTAAAGCTTGACAGTTTTCCAGTATAACAGTTACAGTTATACAGTTATGGCAGTTACAGTTTTACAGTTAACTGTAACCGGTGCATTTCTAGATGTCCCATAATAACCGAGGATAAATTGCCAACCACTTGTTGCTAAAGAATATGTTGAAACTGGATAGCTGCTACTTACTGAACCAATATGAATTATTCAAAACAATGAATAAAAGTTATATGTGAATTTTCTTAAACGTTTTCTAATGTTATAGTTCACTTATAATGTCAAGTGTTTATTCTTTTTCTTACTCATTATACATATCTTCTATATTTTTACAGTAGTATACGTGCGTTTACTTGTGTGTAAAAACGGAAAGTGAAGTTATGACGAACTGCACGATATGTTGTTTAGTATCTTATATATTATGTTATTCTTTTTCTTTTTTTTGTTTCCCGTCCTCAGTGTATTTAAATTTACAATTAAATCTATTTTTTTACTGTCAGAACCATAATGATCGTCATTGTTAACAAGTAAATGTATAGAGTGTCTCGGGGTAATTCCGGTCAATGTCAGAAATCTTTTCAGTATTTTGCTCATAGCTAAGTCATTTTTAACCAGAAAAAAACGGTTCTGCACAGGTAGATAGATCTGACTCTTAGCTATCGACTGATGCACAAATCATGTTAAAATTCATTAGAGATAATTAGTTCTGATCAATTTCCCGTCAGCTGATATTAAATGACCGGAATTACCCCATTTGGGGTAATTCCGGTCAGTGAACGGTTGCCGTTAGGGTAATTCCGGTCAACACAGCCAAAATGGCTGGAACAAAACTAAACCAACTTTTTTCAACGGTGAACTTTCACCTTTGCAATTAAAAATTAGACCATCATATGCAGAATTGTGAGTTCTATCCACCTGTCTAATTTGCACTGTGGTCATACTTACCATTAATTAGTTAATTCTAATTTAGGGAAATCAAAAGACATAGTCATTTTTTAGAGATATGTGCTTTGGGGTAATTCCGGTCACTTCGTTCAAATTGCACGGTATAGACGGAAATCCGTTTCCATCGATGTCCAGAAGCGCATTTTTGCACTCCCTGTGATAAACTTATACAGAATACTTTAATCTATCATACGATGTGAAACTTGGGCGAAAAGAGCCCCTCTTGAACGCATTCTATGCTTGGAAAGGATTTTAGCGATATTCCAGAAATATTTTACCGTCTTCGTTGATCTTATAATCAACTTAGAAGATTAATTAGCAATGACATCAAGAAAAAGTTGAACCATTCATACACAGCACACGATACTCTTCATGATGCACCAAAGATTTTTTCAAAACCGATCGTTTTAGTGTATCATTATTAGACTGCTTTCAAAGTAATGACAATATCCAAGAGCGAAAATTAACTAAATTTTCAAAGTGTCCAGTTTGACGTTTATGCAGCTGTTTTTCATTAGCAGTAATTGAGTAGTTTTGTAAATGATGAAGACGCTGCGATGAGAATGACGAAACTGTAGATTATTTTTGTCTGTCGATGATTAATTATCACTGAGTGAAGTATTAAAGACGCTAGGTGAGTATAAATATTGGAAATCAGCAGAAGTTATCACCTTTCTCATACTTCAATTCGCTTTTACACATTATTATACCTCGTAAATACGTTACGAAACATGAAGAGCATCGTTATTCGAACGATAACTTTGAAGCTGCTCTTCAAGAACTGTGTGCTGGAGCACAAATTCGTACTACAGCAAAAAAATACAATATTCCTTATTCAACATTGCAAGAACATAATTCTGTACAAGTGTCTCGTAGAGGCGCTGGAAGATCGACTCATTTTACCGAGATGGAAGAGTCTTATTTAGTGAAAGCAGTAACTGTCTTACAGGTAAGTCGCATTTCTATCTTAGAATTCTTAAATCCTTTTCTAATTCTGTTTTGTCAGCAATGGGGCGAACCCGTAACGTCGACACAGTTAATCCAGATAGCAACATACTACGCACAATAACTCGCGAAACATAAGTCATTCCAATGTGGAAAACCTGGTGTTGAATGATGGTATTGCTTTATGTCAAGGCATCCTGAATTGAGATCTACTACTCCTCTTCCTTTGGAAATTTCTCGTGCGAAGATAACAACAACTATAGTCGATAGGTGGTTTAAGCTTTTGAAAGAAGTAATCACGAGCAACCACTTAATGGACAAGCCTTCTCAAATCTTTAACTGTGATGAATCTGGATTTGCGGATAAAACGGATACAAGCAAAGTCATCGCGGCTAGTCCAACCAAATTTCCTTATAAAAACCAAGGTGGAATCGGTGGTAGATCATATAATTCTGTACTATTTTGCGTCAGGGCAAGCGGAGCTGTTTTGCGCCGTATATAATCTACAAAGCTATAAAACTATATTGTAACTGGTGTACTAAAGGTAATTGATGTTTTTCTTAAATTGCTCGTTCTCACGTTTGTGTTCAATTTAGGTCCGGATGGTACAGGATATAATACCAGCAAAAATGGATGGATGGAGGAAAATATATTTTTCCAGTGGTTTAAGAATATGTTTATTCCATTAACGGCAACAACACCGAAGCCAATTTTATTGCTACTTGATGGACATACCTCACATCAGAGTGTGCGCACTGTAGAATTAGCTATTGAACACAATATTATTTTATAATTACTACCACCACATTCTACTACTATTCTACAGCCACTCGACGTTACCTTTTTCAAACCAATTAAGCAGAAGTATCGTGAAATTTTAAATGAATATTATTCTACACCAGGATATAAAAACGTCTCGAAACCTGTATTTCCTTCATTAATGGTCAAACTATTCAAATCATCGGCCGTTAGAAATGTAAATGTGATAAAAGGATTTATGAACACTGGTATTTATCCGCTGGATACAACTTTGATTAATTTTGGGTTATTCGGTCATTTAATACCAGCCGACGGGAAATTGATCAGAACTAATTATCTCTAATGAATTTTAACATGATTTGTGCATCAATCGACAGCTAAGAGTCAGATCTATCTACCTGTGCAGAACCGTTTTTTTCTGGTTAAAAATGACTTAGCTATGAGCAAAATACTGAAAAGATTTCTGACATTGACCGGAATTACCCCGAGACACTCTAAATATATACTAAAATGGCTGATTCTTCTAATCTCTTTTGGTTGTCAAATATCTCCTAACTTCTGCTTAATTTAAAAACTTGGAAGTCTTGGAAATTAAAAGAAGGCGAAATTTTAAACTAAAATGGAAATTTATAGACCCACAACCACATGCGAAAAAAAAACAGTGACACTCCCACTAGATACGGAGAAACGAGAAGAAATATAAACAGAAGTCAATCCTGTCATAGGGTTTAAGCGAGAAAAGAGTAATTATTCACCATCAGAAAAATGATCATCGGCAACTCCTACATTCTCTTAACCTTCATCTTCTTTGTTAGATTCGGCATCCTCTTCTTCATTTTGGGCGTTTTCTAGATCTTCCGGATCTTGTTCGTAGAGTTTTGCGTTTTCTTCCGTGTCTTCTGCTTCATATTCCACGTCTTGTTCTTTAGCTACTTCATCAAATACTTTTTCATCCGCTACGGGTATCGTTGCGAAAAAAGTACTGTAAGCAGACTAAAACAAAAAAACACAATAAGGAAGTAAGATTATTTTTAACTAAAACACGCAGCTATTCCTACTTTTTGTTGAATGTGGAATATTACATTGAGCATGGCAAGCATGGTAAGCACTGTCGGTACTTCTGCTTTTAACCTTTGCAATTCTTCCTTGATCGTCGTTGTATACAGGTTCCGAATTCTAATTTTGTTCTTACCTCTTCGACACCTATCAAACAGTGTACTGGTCCTTATCGTCATTTTACGTAGTTTGTTCAACGTGCAAGATAAGTGATATTCATTTTCTTCTGGAGTTTCAATAGAATCTAGACTTTTACTTGTCAATATGCCATGAATCATACCAAGGTCATCTGCCAAATCCGCACATGCTTTTCTATTTGATTTAACTGTTTTGGCTTTTCCTTGACAGGACTTTATGAGTTCGACAATTGTAGAAGTATCGATCGGAATTGACATTTGTCGGTTTTCACTAATCTAAAAGCATTATCACTTTTGTTGGAAAAATAAGTCTGTAAACCATTCTTTCCTAGAGCATACTGATTTTTTGAACGTGATTCAGAAGCTTAACAAAATGTTTCTATGATACACAATTCAAAAATTAAACTGAAGTTAAATTGTACGTTAACCACCGCATGTCAACAGTGAAAAAATAATCGTTGTGATGTAATGCAACAAAGCCATAAAGTAGTCAATAGCTCATGGTAAGGAGTTTATTGGACATCGATCACTATACCTAAAGCAAAGTGTTCTACTCATCAATAATATCGTCTGCCCAAATGTATTTTTCATTCATCTTGATTAAGCATAACTTTCTGATGATTTGATGCATCCAGAGCACAGGAAAATTCAGATGTTAAGAGTGATGCTACTAGATCAAGTCCGTAGCTTGCGACGAGGCTGCTACCATCTGAATTAAAAGCTAACCGAAAAGGATCCTAATTTCATGAGAGACAACGAAAAACTAACGAAGCGTTAAAATTTCCCTTAGCTTTGGTTCTAGCGCAAATGGCTAACTGCAAAAAAAGGAACTTTCCGCGTTAGTACATACGATATATTTACTGACTACTTCGCAATGCTAAAGTTTTTAGAACTGGAAAATATTTGAAGCAAAAACATGTTATACACGATTTACTATTAAAACTGCCCTTGCTGGAAACTTTAAAGTGCAAGCATTGTGAGTGAGTTGGCTGAGACATCCAAATGAAGTGCAGAGAGCCCTGTTCTTTTCAGAAGCACTAAGTACCGTCTATATGACACTTCAGCTGTGTAGGCAATGCCACAGGCGGAGTTCACAGACAAAATATAAGGTGATAAATCCATGTCGAACTTCGAGAACGAACTCGAAATTTTCACTACAGCCTAAATATTCAGGCAGTAAGATCTGCTAGCGCTTTTATAGGTGCTTTTTGTTACCAGAGCTCCGTATGGACCGAACTGGAACGCAAGTTTTTTGAGTGCATGGACTCGGACTGAACTTGGCTCAAACTTTCAAGACTATGGACCGGTGTAGACTCGAAAAAAACATTTTGGATTCACTTGAATCGAGGAAAAACAGGTTGTTTTTGTAATGTGGACTGAACTGGAAAACTTTTATAGGGTCGATGGTTTGAAAAAATTGTTTTTTATGGACTCGGATTGAACTGGACTGAGAATTTCGAGTCCATATGGAGTTCTATTTGTTACTCTCATCTGGATTCTCGTTATACTTACCGATAAGACTTAACACGTGCTCCATTCAATGAATATTCTTTTTCACGAAAATTACGAAGACTTTTAGTAATGAAGCTGTGTTGTAAGTTGTTGCGAATGATGTTATTTATTTGTTATAGAATTGGGTTACCTCAATAACTTACATATCTAGTCGATTATTTTCATTCCCTAGAGAAAGAAAAAGGAAATATTTTGAATTGCAGTATGTCAAGACAGATTATCTAGAAAGAGATTTTTTCTCTTCTGGTTTCAAGTTACTATTGATCATTTTTATACATTGAGCTTTAAAAACATTACACACGTTGTTTTCGAATGTGCCACAGCAAAGAAAGAGAAACGAAATTTTTGTCGTTAAGTGGTACCTCTAGCTTGGATTAAAAATATATGCAAGACTGTTGCTTTTGTGTTTAAACGAACACAGCGAAGAAGATTGATAAAAACCTGTGAATTTTCTGTGACTATAAAAGGAAGTATCCTAGAAATATTAGAGGAAGGTATAAAGGATGTCTCATAATAACTGAGGATAAATTACCAACGACTTGTTGCCAAAGAATATGTTGAAGCTGGATAGCTGCTATTTACTGAACCAATATGAATGATTGAAAACAATGAATAAAAAGTTACGGTGTGTTAGTATCATTTTACGAAGGTGAATAATAATAGCATTGGAAGTTTTTCACAGCGAAAGCTATAGTAGAGTCATTTTCACCAGATAGTTGATAGTATGAAAAGTCATTTTTCACATTATGTTTTGTATGATAATGTCTGTACTCTTAAACTTCGTACTTATGGAAGATTTCGCAGCAATCATTTCAGAAGTAAGTTTTACAGTAAATGATCTTTTGCTGGGAGTTAAAGTTTTCAGAATTCGTTAATTGTTATATATGTTACAGAAAACAGCGGTATCGTATTTTACATTCTATTTATAGGGATCACAAAAGAAATTTCAGCAAACCCTACGGCTGCCGAAAGGTTTTCTGGAAAATCTACCAACACAAATATGCTTTTTGGATTTTTTTGATCTTATAATCCGGTTTAGCGGACAACATTAATCATATCCTGATATTTTGAACTCGTTCTGATGTTTTTTGAGTGAATAGTGCATGTTTTAATATTAGATGAAAACAGCCCGAAAACTAGCCATGTGCGGATCTATATATATATATTTTTTAATCCAAGCTAGAGGTACCACTTAACGACAAAAATTTCGTTTCTCTTTCTTTGCTGTGGCACATTCGAAAACAACGTGTGTAATGTTTTTAAAGCTCAATGTATAAAAATGATCAATAGT